TTTCCGTATCGTCTCACACATGAAAACAGTTGGAAAAAAAGAAGAAAAAAAAAAAAAAAAAGAATTAAAATCGAATCTCAAAATTTAGTAAGCTTAAGTTTTCATGCTTCTTGAAAAGTAGTTATGGCTTATATGAAATAAGTAAAAAAAATTAATGAAGAATTGTGATAAGAAAAGTATTTTCTAACTGATGACACATTTGGTTTTAACGTTCAGGGCCTTCATTTCTCAAGTTTAGTTATATTAGTTCATGATCTCCAGCAAATTTTCTCACTGATGCTGCCAAAACATTTATTTTTTTATTTTCATTGCGGTAAAAATACATTTCATATAAAAACATAAAAATTCCTATGGAAAACCAAACATGTAAAAGACGTAAGTAAGCTTATTTTTTGCTCACCTTAACCATTTTTCAAGTCTGTTTTATACTCTTGATTTGCCCTAAAAAAATTCGGGAATCTCCAAAATCAGTCTAAATTTCAAGGAAAGGCATCCAAGGAAAATTTCACTAAAACTGATATTGTATTGGGTTATCTGTAGTTATCTTTCGTTGTTTTAAGTAAAATTAACCAGGAATTCAAAGCCTAAAAATGTCGGCCATGGAAAACTAGTGGAGGGCTAGTGATGAGTTGTGTATAAATTCCTAAGTGGGAGAGTATACTCGCGCAAAGAAAACGATGTAGTGCATTTCAATATTCGATTTCACTGCATGGTTTTTATTATGGGAGACATTATCTTCATCTCAAATAATAAATTATTGAATATTTTTTTCTCGATCTTATTCTTACCTTTCAGTTGCGTACCGGGAGCTCCGCTTTTAGGCCGTGCCTAAATATATATATATATATATTATATAAGACTGTTCTCTTTGTTTTTTATACTCTGTCAGTAATTTGTTCAAAGAGCAGAAATTGTAGTATAAGAAGTGACCAATGAGATAAATACAGCTAGCTTATTGAAATCAGTTGCCTCGAATTGTATCGAAAATTACACTTTTCATTATATAGACAGACATTATTTTTGTTTATTATTTCTTGAGCTTGATGTGTGATTTTATTGTGAAGTTGTTCATATAATCAAAAATCTTAAAGTTGCCGTCAATTCATTAGAGGTGACAATAATCGGCTGTATAAATTCAAGTTACAATCTACATTTGTATCGTTAAAATTAAAGTTTATTGAAATCAAGCCATAAAGATACATGGATACTTTGCTTGACTTACTGTCTAGATCTTTTAGACCATAGGTGATCAGTTTTCGAGGCCCAAACAATGTAAATATTTTCATTAATTATTTGCGTTATTTCCCCGGCGTTAATTCTTCGAGAAAGAGGCAAAGATATAGAGGACATTATATGGGGGCGCCGAGTGTTCGAGTGTTGAAAAGATCTCTCATATCACGATTGAGCGTAGCGAACGAGTGAGAGATTTTCAACACGAGAAGATAGAATTCCTTTCTCCAAGCGGCCACGTAATATTCTGTTTATTATATGATGTTACTATTTTAAGAAACAAAATGGCGGCTTCATGAATATTGAAAAAATCATATCTTTTGGTTCCCATATCAGAAATGAACAAATTTTGCATTTTTGAACTCCTCGTGTGCAGTTCTTTCAAATGAGCTAGTTAGAATTTTCCATTGAGGAGTATTTCGATTTTCCGCTAAAATTAATGACGTCATTTTCCCACCAAAAATATTGAAATTGAAAAAAGTAAAACAACAGAGTTGTGAGATTTGTTAGACTCTTCAATGTTACCAAGTTTCAAGAAATTTTAATAAAATACAAAAACGTTTTGCCAAAATGAAACATTTTTTAGCCCTTCTATCCCGACGTGTAATTGTCAATGAAGTACGTTTTGGTTTTTTCGGGCAATTCTTTCAGTGTACGTATTTTTGAATAGCCATCGCAATGGTGTTATTTTCACACGTGAAATAACAATTTTTCGAAATAAATAATAAAAAATAAAATAAAAATTGAATTTTCTTCATTTAGTATTAAATACGAAATCAGTCTACTATTTTCATAGAAAACTGTATATTTTATCTCAAAAAGAAGTACGGTTTTATGTAATACTTTGTGTCCACTTTGTTTCACTTTGAAGAGTAACTGCTGACATTTCAGTAACCGCACTTCAGGGAGGAAATTGCAAGGCAGCCGACCATCGTGATAATTTTTACATCAGCTCGGTTTTCATTGTTCTTCTCGGTTGAATATATTGCATAACCCCTGGCCCAGTTCCCAAGTGTCTCAAAGCCGGGGGCGGCTTTGAAATCTTTCAGGGAAGATTTGGGGCTAAGAAACTTATTAAATATGCAGGGGGRATATACATCCGTATGCAAGCGGAATATGACAAATGACATATCGTTGTTTTCATTCTTTTTTTWAAAAAATATTCTTATATTACTTTTTCCAATAGATATCCTGGTAAAGTCTTTACTTTTCACAGAAGCCAAATAACTTAATTGGATATCGAGCCTACCCAAAGCAGTAGAGGAATAGCAAAGTGGGATCAAGAACATTTCTAGAACGTTGAAACAGAATATTCCAACAATCATTTGAATGAAGTGTAGCAGGAAACTGAAATAAGAAGTATCGATAATGGTGAACAGCACCGGGAACTCGACAAATGGCAATGAATGCATTCCCTATCGCAATAGCCCCTCAGAAGTTGAAGAGCCAAAAGCATCCGAGAATTTTCGAACTGTGTTTATGGCCTTTATAATGTTCTTTTCAATAGYGGGCAATGCCTTGGTATTAAGAGGAGCCATTACTCGAAGGAACAAGCCATTTGTTTACTATCTGGTGATAAATCTATCTATAGCAGAAATCATTATTGGCGTTCTGCGGCCATTTGACATGGTCGTCGAAAGAACACCTTTTAAATGGGTGTTTGGTGGTTTATTATGCCAGCTCGTCAAGCCTTTGTCAWTATGTGCTACAATGGTTGTCACGTTTACTCTAGCAGCCATCGCAGTGTTCCGAGCCATAATGATGCTTCAACCAAAGAGGAATCGCCCTTCTAAACGATTTGCTTTCAAAATTATGGCCTTTTCCTGGATTTGGGGAGCTTCCTTAGTCACGCCCWTRKGGCTGAACCRAAAACTGAYTTTACATCCGGATCCGTGTGCTCCGGTTGTCCTTAAAATATGTGKCACTGTTGAGGATATGCCCGTTTACGATGTTGTGTACTATATTGCATTTTTTTTCGCGCCTTTTGCTTTAATGTTGGCGTCTTATAGCATAGTGATATACAGGATAAAACAGCACATTCGTTCTGAGGAAACCAGTAGTCCAGCTGAATCCATTGAATTAGCCAGTGTCACTTGCACGAGAGCAAGCTCATTGGAAAGCGAAACCAGACCTGCACAGTCCCTTGCGACAAAGCCGCCTCAAACCTCTTCATACAACCAAACCTCGCAACTCAAAAACTTCAAGCAAAGGCCTACAATGCCCAATAACAGAGATAACCAAAAAAGCAAAATGTTAAAGTTTGAAAAAGATGTCCTGAACATACTTTACATCCTCATTCTTGTTTTCTTTATCTGTYATCTTCCGTGGACAGTCATGTACATTTTGTTGGAAATAGCGAGGGTACCAAGTGCTATAGTTTGGCCCTATTCAAAAATATTCGATTGGTATATGACCTTGCTCYATAGCCTACCTAGTGCCCTTCACCCCATTTGTTATGGAGCCGCGAGTAAAGTCATAAATATAAACTTCAGATTCCCATGCAAAAAGGTCATGTGAGAATTGACATACGACTGAATGACGTGCGAGGTGTGATATGTATGTAATGGGAAATACATCATCATGGACAACAACAACAAAAAGAAGACAAATGACAGAAAAAAAAAAAAAAAAA